GAATTTTGTTGGATTGCAATGCCTTTTTTGAATATATTTAAAAATTGTCAATCAGCTCCTTTATTTATAAAGGTTTAGGAGGAGATTTTTTTCATATGCTGGATTTAAATAAGGCACGCATTTTTTACTGGGTTGTAAAAAAGAATGGGATTAGCGCAGCCGAAGAGGTTCTAGGCATCAAAGAATCTTCCATCACAAAACAAATTCAAAGCTTAGAAGAAATGAAAGGAAAAAAACTTCTTAATGCAACGCCAAAAGGAATTGTTCTCACTCCTGAAGGGGAATATCTCTTTCATTTTGCAGAACGCATCATTGAAGCATCCAATAGCTACGAAAAAGGTCAGCCACAAAATGAGAAGCAAGAATTAATCTTAGCAACCACTTATGGAATAGCCTCGGAATGGCTTGTAAACTACCTTCCAGAGTGGATTGAGACCCATCCCCACATTTTTCTAAATGTTGTCACTTTTACGAATCACTTCGATATTATGCGGGCAAACTTTGATGTTGCTATTTCACCAATTCAGCGCAATTACCCTTTCTTTAAAGCGCACCTTTTAGAAAAAGTTGTGCAGAAGCTTTATGCCTCTCCAGGATATGTAAAAAAATACGGCTATATTGAAAAAATTGAAGATTTAAAAAATCATAACTTCATTACTTTTTCAAAAAGCGATGTGTCTCCTTTTAACAAGCTCGGCCTTTCTATCAGCCAAAAAGATTATCAAAAACCAATTTTAAGCATTACCTCCTCGATTGCCCTTGCCCGTCTTGCAGAACGAGGCCTCGGAGTAGTCATCTTAGCAGAAAAGTCATATTCTGCTCTTAATCTCAATCTTATAGATATTTTTCCAACATCAAATTTCAAAGGCGTGGATACCCACCTATTTTTTAATGAGCGAAAGTCCCATCTCAAACATGTTCAAGAATGCAGAGATTTTTTCCTACAGAAAATGGGGCGAGAACAATAAAAACGCCTCTTTATCATCAACACCACTAATCAAAAATGGTGGAGAGTTAACTCTCCACCATTTTTAAGTTAAGTCCTCTTACTTTTTTTAACTTTCATAATATAATAATTATGTAATTCTTTGGATTCTAAATTTAATTTAATCATAGCAAAAACTCCAGAATATTTGTTGATCTAAAGCCGACATCCCTTTAATGGAATGTTCAACAAATTCAAGAGTCACGAGTCTTGAAAACTAAATTTTTCCATGGGTTTTCCCCTCTTTCTCTTCCCAAGAAACCTAAACTTCTTTCCCACAAAAGGAGAGATTTCTGACCAAAATCGGAAAGCTATTCCAAAAAATGAAGGGACTTCTCTCCCCGTCCCGCACCCTAAATTATTGTCATCTATTTGCTCTTAAAGATTTTCAAACTTTATAAAGCAAGAAACAGATAGAATAAGCTTTCTTTAAAAATATCCTTCACTTCCTAACAACAATACTTTAAGAAATTTTTTCTAAAAATCAAAGAATTTCATCTACTAAGATTACAAAAAGATCTTTCAGCTTTTTATTACCCTACGAAACCTTTCCTAAACAGGGTCTAAGGTATAACCTTTTTCAAAGGCAATGTTGCTGCCTTTCCTCTTTCTTTTCGAATGAGCTGAAGGTTTCCTAAAACAATGATAGCTCCACCCAAACACACAGGAAGTGTAATGGTTTCGTGGAAAAACAAATAACCAAAAACCCCAGAAAATACGAGACCGGAGTAATCTAAAGGCGATATATTGACAATATCTTCCGCCTCTAAAGCACGTACCAAACAAACAAATCCAGCCATTTGTGTAGCCGCAGCGAGGAAAAGATAGCACCATTTTAAAGCATCTGGCATAGAGGGCGGCAAAAATACAAACCACACACTCCCCAGAATAAGTGAAACCAAGGTGTAATAAATTGTATGAGAAGATATAGGGTCTTTCTTCACTTTTTTAGAAAGAAGTTTTGTCACTGAAAAAGCCAATGCAGACCCGAGAGCATAAAGTACTCCAACAGAAAAAAGCTCAGACCCTGGACGCATCATAATAACCGTTCCCAAAAAACCTGATGCAATCGCAACAAAAATCTTTAAGGTCACTTTTTCTTTAAAAAAAAGTGCTGCAAAAATAACGCTCAAAACAGGTGACAAATAAAACACTGCTGTTGTTGAAAAAAGACTAATTGTCCGAAAAGATTCCATCATCAAAATGATCGACCCAATAAAAGCCACAGAACGAAGCAAATGATGCGATAAAGAAACTGTAGAAAAGGCTTTTCGAACCCCCATTTTCCAAATGAATGGGAGTAGCAAAGGAACGGACACTAAAGACCGGAGCACTATAATTTCTAAAGAAGAATTCATGGTTTGCGTCAGAACCTTAAGCTGCGCCCCTCCTAAAAGCACAAGAAGACACTCGCCACCATCCACAACATTCCAAGACTCACTTGATGCGCTCCCTTCACGCCCTCTTAGCATTAGAAAACCTTCTCAATGCAAGAAGGATATAAGCAAAACCTTATTGCCATGTTAATTGTACGCCATATTAAAACAAGAAAAAACACAGAATAAAAATCCATTTTCATCAAAAAAATTCTATTAATAAAATTAAGAATCGATAAAAAATTCAAAAAAGGCTTGAAAAAAACCAAACTAAAACATTATAAAAATATTACTTACTTATTTTTTCTTTTGGTCTTTTCATCTGCCTCTTTTGGTGTGAACACGCAGAGGTAGATGAAACAGAAAATCTAACACCACACTCTTTAAGTGAAATCCCTGACGAAGTTATTGTGGAAGAGGTTTTTAGTTATCTTATACCATAAGAATTGTTCAGAAGTGTAGAACCTATATCTTGTGACATGCAAAGGGTTGTTTCTGAAAACTTTAGCCACCGCATTGAAGAAATTGAACCTCTATTCAAGGTATCATACCCTAGCTTACAGAGGAGCTTTTTTACTTTAATATAAAAATTGCATGCTAATTTATAATTGAAAAAACTAAAAGTAAATTTGACGAAAGAAAAGAAAAAGAATAAATATTGACTAAATATTCAACTCCAAAAATTCTACTATGTTAAAAAGCATTATTTTTTCGCTTTTAATCTTAACACATTCCGCCAGGGCCTATTTTTTCATGCCCCTAGAGGGAGAAGAAACGGAGTCCACAAAGCCAAAAATGCTCAATACGCTTCCTGATGATGTCTTTACAAATGTCACCTTTACTATCTCACGCCGCAAGAGTTGTGCAAAAGTATAGAGCCCGCCTCCCGTAGGATGCAAAAATGTGTTGCCGAAAACCTTAGCTATCGCATTGAAGAGATTACAGGACTTCTAAAAGCGGTAAACCCAAACATTAATAACGACGAAGAAGCCGAAGTAGCGCTTATAGGGGTTATATCAGAGAAATTTCCCGATACTATTAAAGCCTCTAAAGGGCTGACAATATTTAAAAAAGTCGAATTTTGTATAAAAAAACCTATGAGTACTATGCTAAAAGCTTTGTTCCAATACTCGATTTTCACACGCTTGAAGATTTCTCTAAGAGTCATCTAATTATACAACTAGCTTTTCTCCCACTTATTCCCCTTTCTCCCCAAAAAAGCGATCAATACAATTTTGATGTGTACAATCACGTCATACAAATATCTGTAGGCCCACACCTAAGCGAAAGTACACTTAGGCGTGTTATCTTACCCATATTCAGGGCAGCTGATTTTACTAAGGGTTAAGCATACAAACTCCAATCACCAGCTACGAGACCTTATTCGCACTGCAAAAAACTGCCAACCATCTTCGTCGTTATTTTTTCTTTAAGATTATGCCTAACCCAAAAAAAGAATCTGATTTTAGCAAAAAAACACTCCCCTTCGACTTCTCGAAATCTCCCCTATATCAAATTGGCATTACTCAGAAAGGGAAAGGGCAACATAGAAATATAGACATTACAGGCATTTCAAGCACGTTAACGTCATTAGTTCTCAGAGGCATAACCTTAAGTGACAAAGAGGTAGAAAAACTTTCTGCCCTTATAGAAGAAAAAAGAAACATAAACTGGGTACGGAAATATAACGATATTGATAGCGGCGACCTTGTTATTGATTATTACTTAGGAACAAAAAAACCAAGTTTTTATTGCTCAAGTGGCTTAATGTTGTATTGGAAAGGCCTATTTCCCCATCTTCTACAATGATCAAAAATTGTAAAGGTGAAAAGCAAATTTTTCCCTCCCCCATACTTACAAAAGCATTAAGGATGGCTTTTCGATAAATGACTTAAAGGCTTTTAAGAATTCTGCCCCAACGGCACCATCAACGGCTCTGTGATCCACAGACAATGTACATGTCATCACCGTTGCCACCTGAATAGAACCATCACTGCGCACAACAGCTCTTTTTTCACCGGCACCAACGGCTAAAATACAAGCCTGTGGTGGATTGATTACGGCATCAAACTGTTTAATGCCATACATTCCTAAATTGGAAATACTGAAAGAACCTCCTTGGAATTCTTCAGGCTTCAAGCCACCAGAACGGGCTCTAGAAGCCAGCTCTTTCATCTCTGTTGAAATTTGACGCAACCCTTTTCGTTCTGCTTGGCGAACAATTGGTGTTATCAGCCCACCCTCAATGGCAACCGCAACAGAAACGTCACTGGTTTGATATTGCAAAACGTGATCTCCTGCCCAAGATACATTGGCATCTGGTACTTGGTGCAAAGCTAAAGCAACTGCCCGAATCACAAAGTCATTCACAGAAATTTTTACACCTTCAGATTCTAAGATAGCATTCAAATCCTTCCTAGCGAGCAAAAGCGCATCTAATTCACATTCGACCGTTAAATAAAAATGAGGCACTTGCTGTTTGGACTCTGTCAAACGCTGAGCAATGACTTTGCGCATTGAAGAAATCTCTACACGCTTGGGTTCTAGAGCCTCCTCCATACCATACACTGGCTCAACGCGAAGGGCTGCTGTAGGTGCCACAGCTGCGTGCCCTGAAGTAGAAGCATTTTCCACATCGG